CCTGGAGCTTCGAGTTCGAGCTGCTGATGGAGGCCGCGCATCTTCTGGGATACTTCAACGGGTCCCTGCCATTCCCAAGCAACGGCACTGGGAAGGAACAAGAAATCTTCACGTATCAGTCGCTGCTGGCGTATACGGTACTCCTGAGAAACTTGTCACCACAAGAGCAGCAGAGCATCAGAACGTATCGGAGTTATGGAAACTCCGCGGAACTTGCATGGCATCATCTCAAATGCCTCTATCAAGCAAACGACAGCGTGACACAAAGCAGACTCATGCAACAGCTGACAACAATACAGATGAAAACCGGGGAAAAGGCGATGCAGTATATGAGTCGCTGCCAGACCCTGCGCGACCGCCTGCTTCGGTGCGGAGGAACGATCACTGAAGAAAGCTTCGTCACACTTGTCCTCGCCGGGCTCGGACCAGAATGGAGAACCACACGATCGCTTCTTCGCGCCCACGGAAGGATCTCGGAGATGCACCTCTGCGCCGAGCTTCACGCTGAACAACAGGAGATGGATCTGTTCGAGGAAAGACAACCAAGGAAGCAACAGCAGTTAGTCTTCTACACTCAAAGAAGAAATGACATAAACTACAACCGACGCAGCAAGCAAGATCAACGCGACAACCGAGGACTCACCATCGTGCCGCCGTTCTGCCACAACTGCCAGACTTCCGGACACTCCAAAGTCAACTGCAACCGCCCTCGCGTTTACCGTGCAGCAGACCCACAAGTTGCTTCCACTCAAGCAAGTTCCCCAAGGCGCTCTTCAACATCTGCACAAGGGACACCAAATATCATCAACTGCATGGTACACATCGACAACTGCGCACCCGGATCACCACCCACTTACGCACCAGACGAAGAGGAATTCCCGCCGCCGCGCTCACAAGGACTTCAGGTCAACCCAACATACGCTGCGATCGCCAACGCCGAACCCACTGGGCGAAACACCTGGTTCTTGGACAGCTGCTGCGGTCAACACATGTGCTCCTCGGGACGCTTCGTGCAACAGGAGAAACGCCTCAACCGCGACGTCGTCATCACCGTCGCCAACAACGAAAACCTGAAAACAAACAGACAGGGCGTGGTTCAGTTACAATCCATGGAGACGAATGTCATACTTCAACTCAACAAGGTGCTCATTGTCGACAATCTGGGATACAATCTACTAAGCGTAAGCCAACTAATGGCCAAGGGGATTCACCTGGAGTGCGACTCTTACTCCAACGAGTTCCGGCTTTACCACGGGAAGGGCGGCCTCTTCATCGGTCGTGCCCTCCTGAAGTCCGGCGTCTTCGTGTTGGACTTCGTCCCCGACCGCGGAACTGCCGACAGCGATGGCATCGTATCGTTCGCCGCCTGGACTCACCCGCCGGATCTTGACCCCGACTTCGACAGTGACGGCTTCTGGCACTCCAACACCATACCTGCAGCAGAGAGAACACGAGCATTAGCAGTTATCAGACAAGAAAGACAAGTACCCGCAAGTGTCCCAACAAAACCATCACCTGCAGTATCGGCAGCAGGACCCAGCCGAGTACCACCACCATCAACACGAGGACCGCCAACGGAAGCAGACCAACTTATGCCCGCCACACGAGAAGCTTGTCGAAGTCCCGCCTCAGTCGTCGCGTTCTTCTCCAACGCCGACATCTACCACCGCTCGCCCGGCCACCGCGCTCCCGACGACATCTGGCACCAACGTCTCGGACATCCTGCAAACAGCACGATACTTCAAACAATCCAAGCAGAGGTGTTAGAACGCAACGCCCTTCTGACGACGAACGGCCAGGAACTCCGACGACCACGCGCACGGTGCTTCACATGCCCCGAAGCAGATCTTCCTCATCAACCTTTCCCAGCCCATCACAATCCAAGCGCACCCACTTACGCTCCGATGGAAAAGGTCTACAGCGATATTCTAAACATGCCTCGAGACGACACCGAAGCCGACTTCAACTACGTCATCACGTTCATCGACGCAGCAACCAGATACGTCTGGCACTTCAATCTCAAAACGCGCGATCAAGCCTTCGAGGCCTTCACCACATGGCTTCCAATCGCCGAACGAGAGTCAGGAACCAAACTCAAGAGTTTCCAGTCAGACGGTGCACTGGAATACCAGTCACAACGCTTCAGGACCTATCTCGCGGAAAGGGGAATCCGACGCCTGGTGTCTCTGCCCTATGCTCACCAGCAGCAGGGGGTAGCAGAACGCATGAACCGGACCTTGCAGACGACGATGCGAAAACTGCTTCTGGGGATGAGGCTGCCCAACGCACTGTGGCCAGACGCGATGACACATGCTGTTCACCTGCACAACCTGCTGTCCTCGTCATCACTTCCCAACAACGCATCGCCGCACCTGTTGTGGACAAGAAAAAGGGGCAGCACAAAATTACTCCGCGTTTTCGGCTGCATGGTACAGTACAGACCCCACACAGCCCGAGCAGGACGCTTCTCACAAAGAGCTCGATGGGGACTACACCTCGGCATCGCAAAACATTTTCACGCGTGGAAAATTCTCGACATACAAGACAAAAACACGGTGGCATCACGCGATGTTATCTTCTACGAACGACTGACGCTGCAGCATTACCTGGACAACCTTGCCAACACACAAGACCCCACCGACGGCTTCGCGGGCCTTCGCTCCTTCGCTGACCACACTGCCGAGGCTGACGCAGCAGAAGAAGACGTACCTGGAGCCTCGGAAGCTGCCGGACCACTCCCATTCTGTTCCGTACCTGTTCCACTCGATGAAGATAATCCCCTCGATAGCAACAACCTCGACACCTTTTACCACTTCGCCGACCAAGGTTACGCTACACCTCACCCCGTCGACACGAATATTTCGGAACGCATCGGCCCCAATTTCTTACCTGACCCCGAAGACGGTGACGAAGCAGCTTATTCCGGGAATGAAAATTCCCCTCGACACACGCCCACGGGACTCCAGATTCTAGGCCTCTGGGTCTCCGTCCAGAATCCGCCGCCGCCTTCTCCGCGAGAGCCTTCAACGTTGTCGCAGGCTCTGGGGGGGGAACATAAGGCAAGATGGAAGGAAGCAATGGAAAAGGAGTTAAAAGCTCTGCAAGACCGAGAAACGTGGAAACTGGTACCTGCAACGAGCATCAACGGAAAAAACGTTCTCTCGGGGAAATGGGTGTACCGCATCAAGACCAACTCAGACGGTTCCGTCGAACGATTCAAAGCTCGATGGGTCGTACGAGGCTTCGACCAACGATACGGAGCCGACTACACAGAAACCTTCGCTCCAGTCTCCCGTCACACCTCATTACGCATCCTACTCGCCGTCGCGGCCACGAAAAAACTGCCACTACGCCAAATCGATGTCGCGAATGCATTCCTATACGCACCTGTGGACGCTGAGATCTTCGTCGAACAACCCCACGGATTCATCAACGATCCCACGAAAATATGCCGACTGACAAAATCCCTATACGGGATCAAGCAAACCCCGCGGCTCTGGCAGCAGCATCTCCACGGCCGTCTCGCAAAGATCGGCTTCCTACAATTACCGCATGACCAAGGGATGTACCGACTGCAGAAGGGAAGAGATTATGTTCTGCTCATCGTCTACGTCGACGACCTGCTCTACATCGGCTCCACTATCGACATCGCCACCTGGTTCGAAGGGGAGCTGAAAGAAGATTTAACTCTCACGGTGTCCGACGAAGTTACCCAGTACCTAGGACTGAACATCGTCGAAGACGACACGGCGTTCTACCTACACGCTGGAAAGTACTCAAGCACCGTCGCGAAGAAATTCGGTCTAGCACCGACTGCGGTCCCAACTCCCTACCGCTACGGGAACAACAGTAGCGCCTCCACAAAACTCCCCGCGAAACAAATCCAGGAGTATCAACAGAAGCTCGGTTGCCTACTATTCGCAGCAGTAACCTGCCGACCCGACCTATCCTATAGTGCGAGTCAGCTGGCGACACATCTGAAGCAGCCGCAACAGGAAGATCTCGAAGAACTCAATCGAGCGCTACTCTACTTCGTCTCCACGCCGACGATCGGGCTCACCTACAGCAAGGCAACAACACCGTCCGTACAACTACTCGGATACGTCGACGCCGACCACGCGGGAGACAGCGAAAATCGACGGTCTAGGACGGGCTACATCTACCGACTAGAACCTATCGGAACTATCTCCTGGCAGTCGAGCAAGCAGGAGTTAATCGCACTATCCTCGGCTGAAGCAGAGTATGTCGCCCTTTGTACTGCGACCAGGGAAGGACTCTACCTACGAGAGTTACTCGAAGAAGCGAAGATCGCGACCCTGCCCGCCTTCTCACTCCTCTGCGACAACCAATCTGCAATCAAAATCGCGAACAAGGACGGCTTCGCCAATCGAACCAAGCACATCGCCCTGCGGTACTTCTTCGTCAAGGATGAAATCGCGAAGGGGAGACTTCAACTCAGTTACTGCCCGACGACAGAAATGGCCGCAGATTATCTGACGAAGAAATTGGCGAAAGCAAAATTCGACTACTGCATGCTCCTAACCGGGCAAACAAACGCCACCGGATCTGAACACTCCAGCACTCCAGAAACGAAGGGGAGTGTTGGAAATATCTCAAGGACTTAAGCGTTTCTGAAGTGTAACACTGTACTCGAGGAAGATTACAGGGGAGCACGCGAGTCAACGGAGGTTACACGAGGGGGCGGACAAAGAATGCGAAAGGACTCGAAAGGTCGCAACTGGAGGTTGCGACTGACCGTTACAACATCACGGATGGTAACCGAAGCGGCAATCGAGTCGCTGTGCGACTCGATAAACCGCTCCTGTAACTGTATTCTACAACTGCTTTCTTATCTTCTATATATTGCTGTATGCTTGTTTCTTTAATCAAATCACTTGTTCTCACATACTAGTACAAGGGTTCAACCGTCTCAACTTCCGCTGCACTACTCCAAGTCTCAAGTCTTTACAGCTGGGACTTAGTCTCTGCAAAAGATCCTAAGGGCTTTTCTCAGCCCAACAGAACGAAATGCTTTTCCGCCTGAAAGAAAAAATACAAGATTCAAGTGAACCCCAGCTTTGTAATTGTAGCCAAGGGCTTTAGTCTCACTCCTAGAAATAATGAACGGTATAATACAGAACTAATCAGCTAGGATATAGATAAATGATTAGCTAACAGCGCCATTATTTAGCGACTGGGTTGCGGCCTTGGTCTATATCAAGGTGCAGTGTGCTCGCTGGGTCACTCCCTCTAGGCCCATCGGCATACAGCGCTGGCAGGTACGCCTTGTAGGCGGGGATGTAGCGAGTCACGAAGTCACGCACCTGGGGAGGCAGGGTGGGCGGCGGGGGGAACAACTACAAGGGGTCAGATGGCATGATCAGCAGGGTTGAGGTGATGTGACGGTTGTGAGTTGATGCAGCAGCCAGACAGCATAGATTTCACAGCAAGGCACGAGGGAGAAGACATGCAAGGAAGGGGTGGTGAGAGTGGTGCGGCGAGGGGAGCGCAGTGGCGGCGGGCACCTGGTCGTCCGTCATGCCGGGCTTGCCCGTGGCCCTCATCGCCACCTCCGCCTGCACCATGGGTGGGTGGGGGGACGCACAGGGGCGGATGGGCGGGCAGAGCACCGGGATAAGAGACGGCGGGCGCACCATGGGTGGGAGGCTTGCTGCTTGCGAGCTGCGAGAAACGAGCAGACAATCCACCATGCCACAAAATGAAGTCCCCCGCATGCCCATGCCACGCCATGCCTTCTGTATTCACAATGCATGCTCGTTCTAGTGTTAAGTGTAGATACACATTGGCCTTGCCCAGGCCAGCCCGTGATCCCCATTGCTGATCAAGCCCCAGATAACTGGCCCGCCATGCTTGGAGGTGAGCCCTACCACCTGGGATTGCTCACTCCCAGGTATAACTGCCATCACTCTCCTCAGCAAAACAACGGCTTTCAGATTCTTCCAGCCACACCTGCAGGCGCCATTCGAAGACCCAATCAACGTCCGCCACCTGGATGATGACCCACGCGTCCACCAGGTCGTGCCACGCGCTGTACTCCGCCAGGCGCACGTTCACCTCCTCCAGCTGGGGGGGGAAGAGAGAGAGGCGGAGGGGAAAGGGGGGAGAGAGGGGGGAAAGGAGGAAGTGAGGGGGGGGAACGGGAAGAGAGCGGGGGAAAGGTGGAGAGAGGTGGGGAGGTTCAGTGGTGGCATGTGCTGTGCTGCTGCAGGCACGTGTAACCTCCGATAGGTGGGGGGAAGGGGGGCAGGGTGCGGGGGTACTGAAGTGGGGGTACTGAAGTGGGGGTACTGAAGTGGGGGTACTGAAGTGGGGATACTGAAGTGGGGGTACTGAAGTGGGGGTATGGCGGTTGATGCGAGGAGAGCACACCACGAGTCCATGCAGCCGTGGCAGCATGCGCACCTGGGGAGCGCCCATGTGGAGCGCATCTGCGGGTCCTGGCCTGCTCTGGCATGCTCTGGCCTGGTCATGTTGCAGCAGGGGGAAGGCCGGCATCCAGCCCTGGAAGGGCACCATGTGCACCAGGCCCCACACGTACCAGCCCGTGCACCAGGCCCCACACGTACCAGCCTGTGCACCAGGCCCCACACGTACCAGCCCGTGCACCAGGCCCCCCACGTACCAGCCCGTGCACCAGGCCCCCCACGTACCAGCCCGTGCACCAGGCCCCCCACGTACCAGCCCGTGCACCAGGCCCCCCACGTACCAGCCCGTGCACCAGGCCCCACACGTACCAGCCCCATACCTGCGGGTCAACAGCTGCGGCTGCGTCGTGGTGCACAGGCTGGAATCCGAGCATCCAGCCCTCGAAGAGCACCACATCAACCGGGCCCTGCACCGCAGGCCACTGCGAAGGCGGGCTGCGATCGCCCCGACCTGAGAAGGCCGACTGCGTGGGGGGGGGGGGAACGGGAGGAGGAGAGAGGCGGGCAAAGTGGAGGAAGGTCGCAGGAGGCAGGTGCGGGGTGGGAAAGGCATCATTGGTGCGCGAGAGACAGAGGAGGGAGGGAAGTGCAGGCGGCGAGAGGGGATGGCGGCAGGGAAAGCAACGACGATTTTGGGTGATGAGCAGAAAGGAGTGAGTGGGGCCGGGTCCATGCGAACAAGAGGCATGGGCGGTGAAGGCCATGTGCGAGCAAGAGCAAGAGGGAAGAGCAAGAGGCATGGGCACAAGCCATGTGCGAGCATCTCATGCCACACAAGCCATGTGCGAGCATCTCATGGCACACAAGCCATGTGCGAGCATCTCATGCCACACAAGCCATGTGCGAGCACCTCATGGCACACAAGCCATGTGCGAGCATCTCATGGCACACAAGCCATGTGCGAGAATCTCATGGCACACAAGCCATGTGCTAGCATCTCATGGCACACAAGCCATGTGCGAGCATCTAATGGCACACAAGCCATGTGCAAGCATCTCATGGCACACAAGCCATGTGCAAGCATCTAATGGCACACAAGCCATGTGCGAGCATCTCATGGCACACAAGCCGTGTGCAAGCATCTCATGGCACACAAGCCATGTGCGAGCACCTCATGGCACACAAGCCATGTGCGAGCATCTCATGGCACACAAGCCATGTGCGAGCACCTCATGGCACACAAGCCATGTGCGAGCATCTCATGGCACACAAGCCATGTGCGAGAATCTCATGGCACACAAGCCATGTGCTAGCATCTCATGGCACACAAGCCATGTGCGAGCATCTAATGGCACACAAGCCATGTGCAAGCATCTCATGGCACACAAGCCATGTGCAAGCATCTAATGGCACACAAGCCATGTGCGAGCATCTCATGGCACACAAGCCGTGTGCAAGCATCTCATGGCACACAAGCCATGTGCGAGCACCTCATGGCACACAAGCCAGGTGCGAGCATCTCATGGCACACAAGCCATGTGCGAGCATCTCATGGCACACAAGCCATGTGCGAGCATCTCATGGCACACAAGCCATGTGCAAGCATCTCATGGCACACAAGCCATGTGCGAGCATCTCATGGCACACAAGCCATGTGCGAGCATCTCATGGCACACAAGCCATGTGCGAGCATCTCATGGCACACAAGCCATGTGCGAGCATCTCATGGCACACAAGCCATGTGCGAGCATCTCATGGCACACAAGCCATGTGCGAGCATCTCATGGCACACAAGGCATGTGCGAGCATCTAATGGCACACAAGCCATGTGCGAGCATCTCATGGCACACAAGCCATGTGCAAGCATCTCATGGCACACAAGCCATGTGCGAGCATCTCATGGCACACAAGCCATGTGCGAGCATCTCATGGCACACAAGCCATGTGCGAGCATCTCATGGCACACAAGCCATGTGCGAGCATCTAATGGCACACAAGCCATGTGCGAGAATCTCATGGCACACAAGCCATGTGCGAGCATCTCATGGCACACAAGCCATGTGCGAGCATCTCATGGCACACAAGCCATGTGCGAGCATCTCATGGCACACAAGCCATGTGCGAGCATCTCATGGCACACAAGCCATGTGCGAGCATCTCATGGCACACAAGCCATGTGCGAGCATCTCATGGCACACAAGCCATGTGCGAGCATCTCATGGCACACAAGCCATGTGCGAGCATCTCATGGCACACAAGCCATGTGCGAGCATCTCATGGCACACAAGCCATGTGCGAGCATCTCATGGCACACAAGCCATGTGCAAGCATCTCATGGCACACAAGCCATGTGCGAGCATCTCATGGCACACAAGCCATGTGCAAGCATCTCATGGCACACAAGCCATGTGCGAGCATCTCTTGGCACACAAGCCATGTGCGAGCATCTCATGGCACACAAGCCATGTGCGAGCATCTCATGGCACACAAGGCATGTGCGAGCATCTAATGGCACACAAGCCATGTGCGAGCATCTCATGGCACACAAGCCATGTGCAAGCATCTCATGGCACACAAGCCATGTGCGAGCATCTCATGGCACACAAGCCATGTGCGAGCATCTCATGGCACACAAGCCATGTGCGAGCATCTCATGGCACACAAGCCATGTGCGAGCATCTCATGGCACACAAGCCATGTGCGAGCATCTCATGGCACACAAGCCATGTGCGAGCATCTCATGGCACACAAGCCATGTGCGAGCATCTCATGGCACACAAGCCATGTGCGAGCATCTCATGGCACACAAGCCATGTGCGAGCATCTCATGGCACACAAGCCATGTGCGAGCATCTCATGGCACACAAGCCATGTGCGAGCATCTCATGGCACACAAGCCATGTGCGAGCATCTCATGGCACACAAGCCATGTGCGAGCATCTCATGGCACACAAGCCATGTGCGAGCATCTCATGGCACACAAGCCATGTGCGAGCATCTCATGGCACACAAGCCATGTGCGAGCATCTCATGGCACACAAGCCATGTGCGAGCATCTCATGGCACACAAGCCATGTGCGAGCATCTCATGGCACACAAGCCATGTGCGAGCATCTCATGGCACACAAGCCATGTGCAAGCATCTCATGGCACACAAGCCATGTGCGAGCATCTCTCACACCATGTCGAGCATTCATGGCACACAAGCCATGTGCGAGCATCTCATGGCACACAAGCCATGTGCGAGCATCTCATGGCACACAAGCCATGTGCGAGCATCTCATGGCACACAAGCCATGTGCGAGCATCTCATGGCACACACAAGCCATGTGCGAGCATCTCATGGCACACAAGCCATGTGCGAGCATCTCATGGCACACAAGCCATGTGCGAGCATCTCATGGCACACAAGCCATGTGCGAGCATCTCATGGCACACAAGCCATGTGCGAGCATCTCATGGCACACAAGCCATGTGCGAGCATCTCATGGCACACAAGCCATGTGCGAGCATCTCATGGCACACAAGCCATGTGCGAGCATCTCATGGCACACAAGCCATGTGCGAGCATCTCATGGCACACAAGCCATGTGCGAGCATCTCATGGCACACAAGCCATGTGCGAGCATCTCATGGCACACACAAGCCATGTGCGAGCATCTCATGGCACACAAGCCATGTGCGAGCATCTCATGGCACACAAGCCATGTGCGAGCATCTCATGGCACACAAGCCATGTGCGAGCATCTCATGGCACACAAGCCATGTGCGAGCATCTCATGGCACACAAGCCATGTGCGAGCATCTCATGGCACACAAGCCATGTGCGAGCATCTCATGGCACACAAGCCATGTGCGAGCATCTCATGGCACACAAGCCATGTGCGAGCATCTCATGGCACACAAGCCATGTGCGAGCATCTCATGGCACACAAGCCATGTGCGAGCATCTCATGGCACACAAGCCATGTGCGAGCATCTCATGGCACACAAGCCATGTGCGAGCATCTCATGGCACACAAGCCATGTGCGAGCATCTCATGGCACACAAGCCATGTGCGAGCATCTCATGGCACACAAGCCATGTGCGAGCATCTCATGGCACACAAGCCATGTGCGAGCATCTCATGGCACACAAGCCATGTGCGAGCATCTCATGGCACACAAGCCATGTGCGAGCATCTCATGGCACACAAGCCATGTGCGAGCATCTCATGGCACACAAGCCATGTGCGAGCATCTCATGGCACACAAGCCATGTGCGAGCATCTCATGGCACACAAGCCATGTGCGAGCATCTCATGGCACACAAGCCATGTGCGAGCATCTCATGGCACACAAGCCATGTGCGAGCATCTCATGGCACACAAGCCATGTGCGAGCATCTCATGGCACACAAGCCATGTGCGAGCATCTCATGGCACACAAGCCATGTGCGAGCATCTCATGGCACACAAGCCATGTGCGAGCATCTCATGGCACACAAGCCATGTGCGAGCATCTCATGGCACACAAGCCATGTGCGAGCATCTCATGGCACACAAGCCATGTGCGAGCATCTCATGGCACACAAGCCATGTGCGAGCATCTCATGGCACACCCCCCATGCACACAAGCCATGTGCGAGCATCTCATGGCACACAAGCCATGTGCGAGCATCTCATGGCACACAAGCCATGTGCAAGCATCTCATGGCACACAAGCCATGTGCGAGCATCTCATGGCACACAAGCCATGTGCGAGCATCTCATGGCACACAAGCCATGTGCGAGCATCTCATGGCACACAAGCCATGTGCGAGCATCTCATGGCACACAAGCCATGTGCGAGCATCTCATGGCACACAAGCCATGTGCAAGCATCTCATGGCACACAAGCCATGTGCGAGCATCTCATGGCACACAAGCCATGTGCGAGCATCTCATGGCACACAAGCCATGTGCGAGCATCTCATGGCACACAAGCCATGTGCGAGCATCTCATGGCACACAAGCCATGTGCGAGCATCTCATGGCACACAAGCCATGTGCGAGCATCTCATGGCACACAAGCCATGTGCGAGCATCTCATGGCACACAAGCCATGTGCGAGCATCTCATGGCACACAAGCCATGTGCAGCATCTCATGGCACACAAGCCATGTGCGAGCATCTCATGGCACACAAGCCATGTGCGAGCATCTCATGGCACACAAGCCATGTGCGAGCATCTCATGGCACACAAGCCATGTGCGAGCATCTCATGGCACACAAGCCATGTGCGAGCATCTCATGGCACACAAGCCATGTGCAGCATCTCATGGCACACAAGCCATGTGCGAGCATCTCATGGCACACAAGCCATGTGCGAGCATCTCATGGCACACAAGCCATGTGCGAGCATCTCATGGCACACAAGCCATGTGCGAGCATCTCATGGCACACAAGCCATGTGCGAGCATCTCATGGCACACAAGCCATGTGCGAGCATCTCATGGCACACAAGCCATGTGCGAGCATCTCATGGCACACAAGCCATGTGCGAGCATCTCATGGCACACAAGCCATGTGCGAGCATCTCATGGCACACAAGCCATGTGCGAGCATCTCATGGCACACAAGCCATGTGCGAGCATCTCATGGCACACAAGCCATGTGCGAGCATCTCATGGCACACAAGCCATGTGCGAGCATCTCATGGCACACAAGCCATGTGCGAGCATCTCATGGCACACAAGCCATGTGCGAGCATCTCATGGCACACAAGCCATGTGCAAGCATCTCATGGCACACAAGCCATGTGCGAGCATCTCATGGCACACAAGCCATGTGCGAGCATCTCATGGCACACAAGCCATGTGCGAGCATCTCATGGCACACAAGCCATGTGCGAGCATCTCATGGCACACAAGCCATGTGCGAGCATCTCATGGCACACAAGCCATGTGCGAGCATCTCATGGCACACAAGCCATGTGCGAGCATCTCATGGCACACAAGCCATGTGCGAGCATCTCATGGCACACAAGCCATGTGCGAGCATCTCATGGCACACAAGCCATGTGCGAGCATCTCATGGCACACAAGCCATGTGCGAGCATCTCATGGCACACAAGCCATGTGCGAGCATCTCATGGCACACAAGCCATGTGCGAGCATCTCATGGCACACAAGCCATGTGCGAGCATCTCATGGCACACAAGCCATGTGCGAGCATCTCATGGCACACAAGCCATGTGCGAGCATCTCATGGCACACAAGCCATGTGCGAGCATCTCATGGCACACAAGCCATGTGCGAGCATCTCATGGCACACAAGCCATGTGCGAGCATCTCATGGCACACAAGCCATGTGCGAGCATCTCATGGCACACAAGCCATGTGCGAGCATCTCATGGCACACAAGCCATGTGCGAGCATCTCATGGCACACAAGCCATGTGCGAGCATCTCATGGCACACAAGCCATGTGCGAGCATCTCATGGCACACAAGCCATGTGCGAGCATCTCATGGCACACAAGCCATGTGCGAGCATCTCATGGCACACAAGCCATGTGCGAGCATCTCATGGCACACAAGCCATGTGCGAGCATCTCATGGCACACAAGCCATGTGCGAGCATCTCATGGCACACAAGCCATGTGCGAGCATCTCATGGCACACAAGCCATGTGCGAGCATCTCATGGCACACAAGCCATGTGCGCATCCGCCACAAGCCATGTGCGAGCATCTCATGGCACACAAGCCATGTGCGAGCATCTCATGGCACACAAGCCATGTGCGAGCATCTCATGGCACACAAGCCATGTGCGAGCATCTCATGGCACACAAGCCATGTGCGAGCATCTCATGGCACACAAGCCATGTGCGAGCATCTCATGGCACACAAGCCATGTGCGAGCATCTCATGGCACACAAGCCATGTGCGAGCATCTCATGGCACACAAGCCATGTGCGAGCATCTCATGGCACACAAGCCATGTGCGAGCATCTCATGGCACACAAGCCATGTGCGAGCATCTCATGGCACACAAGCCATGTGCGAGCATCTCATGGCACACAAGCCATGTGCGAGCATCTCATGGCACACAAGCCATGTGCGAGCATCTCATGGCACACAAGCCATGTGCGAGCATCTCATGGCACACAAGCCATGTGCGAGCATCTCATGGCACACAAGCCATGTGCGAGCATCTCATGGCACACAAGCCATGTGCGAGCATCTCATGGCACACAAGCCATGTGCGAGCATCTCATGGCACACAAGCCATGTGCGAGCATCTCATGGCACACAAGCCATGTGCGAGCATCTCATGGCACACAAGCCATGTGCGAGCATCTCATGGCACACAAGCCATGTGCGAGCATCTCATGGCACACAAGCCATGTGCAAGCATCTCATGGCACACAAGCCATGTGCGAGCATCTCATGGCACACAAGCCATGTGCGAGCATCTCATGGCACACAAGCCATGTGCGAGCATCTCATTCATGGCACACAAGCCTTGTGCGAGCATCTCATGGCACACAAGCCATGTGCGAGCATCTCATGGCACACAAGCCATGTGCGAGCATCTCATGGCACACAAGCCATGTGCGAGCATCTCATGGCACACAAGCCATGTGCGAGCATCTCATGGCACACAAGCCATGTGCAGCATCTCATGGCACACAAGCCATGTGCGAGCATCTCATGGCACACAAGCCATGTGCGAGCATCTCATGGCACACAAGCCATGTGCGAGCATCTCATGGCACACAAGCCATGTGCGAGCATCTCATGGCACACAAGCCATGTGCGAGCATCTCATGGCACACAAGCCATGTGCAAGCATCTCATGGCACACAAGCCATGTGCGAGCATCTCATGGCACACAAGCCATGTGCGAGCATCTCATGGCACACAAGCCATGTGCGAGCATCCTCCATGGCACACACAAGCCATGTGCGAGCATCTCATGGCACACAAGCCATGTGCAAGCATCTCATGGCACACAAGCCATGTGCGAGCATCTCATGGCACACAAGCCATGTGCAAGCATCTCATGGCACACAAGCCATGTGCGAGCATCTCATGGCACACAAGCCATGTGCGAGCATCTCATGGCACACAAGCCATGTGCGAGCATCTCATGGCACACAAGCCATGTGCGAGCATCTCATGGCACACAAGCCATGTGCGAGCATCTCATGGCACACAAGCCATGTGCGAGCATCTCATGGCACACAAGCCATGTGCGAGCATCTCATGGCACACAAGCCATGTGCGAGCATCTCATGGCACACAAGCCATGTGCGAGCATCTCATGGCACACAAGCCATGTGCGAGCATCTCATGGCACACAAGCCATGTGCGAGCATCTCATGGCACACAAGCCATGTGCGAGCATCTCATGGCACACAAGCCATGTGCAAGCATCTCATGGCACACAAGCCATGTGCGAGCATCTCATGGCACACAAGCCATGTGCGAGCATCTCATGGCACACAAGCCATGTGCAAGCATCTCATGGCACACAAGCCATGTGCGAGCATCTCATGGCACACAAGCCATGTGCGAGCATCTCATGGTACACAAGCCATGTGCGAGCATCTCATGGTACACAAGCCATGTGCGAGCATCTCATGGCACACAAGCCATGTGCGAGCATCTCATGGCACACAAGCCATGTGCGAGCATCTCATGGCACACAAGCCATGTGCGAGCATCTCATGGCACACAAGCCATGGTGCTTTCACTCAAGCATGCACTGTGGCGTGTCCGCTGACTAACCTTGTCATAGCGAGGAAGAGCGACCTTGGTGCCTGGTGGGCATTGGGGGGGTGAACGGGGAGGAACCCCAAGGGATGAATGGGAGGATGCACGTGAGTGCGGAGACACGAAGATGCATTCAAGGCCAAGCACAACAATAATCTTTTCATGCCCACGCGCGAGGCTGCACTCCCTCCCTGCCATGCATGCCTCCCTGCCATGCATGCCTCTCTGCCATGCATGCCTCCCTGCCATGCATGCCTCCCTGCCATGCATGCCTCCCTGCCATGCATGCCTCCCTGCCATGCATGCCTCCCTGCCATGCATGCCTCCCTGCCATGCATGCCTCCCTGCCATGCATGCCTCCCTGCCATGCATGCCTCCCTGCCATGCATGCCTCCCTGCCATGCATGCCTCCCTGCCATGCATGCCTCCCTGCCATGCATTCTTACCGAACCACATGCATACCCCATCCCTTCTCTGCTCACACCATGCTACCACCATGCTCGCACCATGCTACCACCATGCTCGCACCATGCTCGCTTCATGCTCCCACCATGCTCGCTTCATGCTCCCACCATGCTCGCACCATGCTACCACCATGCTCGCACCATGCTACCACCATGCTCGCACCATGCTCGCTTCATGCTCGCACCATGCTACCACCATGCTACCACCATGCTCCCACCATGCTACGACCATGCTCCCACCATGCTCGCTTCATGCTCCCACCATGCTCGCACCATGCTACCACCATGCTCGCACCATGCTACCACCATGCTCGCACCATGCTCGCTTCATGCTCCCACCATGCTCGCTTCATGCTCCCACCATGCTCGCACCATGCTACGACCATGCTCGCACCATGCTCGCACCATGCTCCCACCATGCGCCCACCATGCAGCCTGGCCTCCCCCCCTGTCTCCGCCTCACCCGGCGCCGTGGCGTGCTTGAGCGCGCTGAGCGTGGCGACGCCCAGAGGCAGGTCGTGTGAGCCCGCGTTGCCCCGCAGCTGGGGGGGAAGGGGACGCAGGAGGCGCATGGAAGGAGGAAGTCAAGCGGCAGGGGAGTGATGCTGCAGGCAGCGGGCAGGCGGAGTGAAGGGTGGGCAACGGGGAGTGAGGAGAGAGGGGAGGAGAGTTATTACGGTGCAGTGCAGAGAGAGGAACGGCAAGGAAGGTGATTGGCGGCAGCAGGAACAGAACAGCGAGGCAAGGGATGAGAGGGGGAAGGCGATGAGGGGAAAAGCGATGAGGGGGAAAGCGATGAGGGGGAAAGCGATGAGGGGGAAAGCGATGAGGGGGAAAGCGATGAGAGGGGGGAGGCGATGAGAGGGGGAGGAGAAGGACGAGACAGAAGAAGAGGAGGGTTGGAAGAAGGGGCAGGGCAAGGGAGGGATGCACAAGGAAGGATAGCGACAGATGCGAGGGGAGAGTAGGGTGGGGGTGGGGAGGCGAGAGGGGAGAGCGACGGAAAGGGACGGGGCGGAGTGGTTGAGGTCGCACCTCGAGCAGGCGGTTGCCGGGATGCGCTTCCCGCAGAGCAGCCTGGGGATGGGCGATGGGCGGGTGAGGGCGATGGGCGGGTGAGGGGTGGGGGGGGGTGAGATATGGGAGGATGAGCGCAGCGGCAGTGGAAGGGATCCAGACGCTACGTTTAGGAATTTGAACGGGTATGTGCCGCCAAGCATGCAGGTATGTGCCGCCAAGCATGCGGCGCGGAGCACAGAGGCATGAGGGGCCAAGCATAGAGGCATGAGGGGCCAAGCATAGAGGCATGACGGGCCATGGTGTCACCTGGCCTTGCGCCGTGAGGTAGAAATCGTCGATGGACACCGTGGCCGCCGTGCTGCTCACAGGGCGATGCACAGAGGGCGATGCACAGAGGGCGATGCACAGAGGGCGATGCACAGAGGGCGATGCACAGAGGGCGATGCAGAGAGGGCGATGCAGAGAGGGCGATGCAGAGAGGGCGATGCACAGAGGGCGATGCAGAGAGGGCGATGCAGAGAGGGCGGTGCAGAGAGGGCGATGCAGAGAGGGCGGTGCACAGAGGGCGATGCACAGAGGGCGATGCACGGGCAAGGCACAGGGAGTGGGGTAAGCAGTGAGGCACAGAAGCGCAAGTAGGGCAGACAGCGGAGAACACAGCTATCCAGGCAAGTGCAAGCGATGAAGACGAGCAACCTGTAAGGGCGGCATGGCAAGCTGGTGGCGTGGCATTAGTGCATGGCACGCTGGTGGCATGGCATTAGTGCATGGCACGCTGGTGGCATGGCATTAGTGCATGGCACGCTGGTGGCATGGCATTAGTGCATGGCACGCTGGTGGCATGGCATTAGTGCATGGCACGCTGGTGGCATGGCATTAGTGCATGGCACGCTGGTGGCATGGCATTAGTGCATGGCACGCTGGTGGCATGGCATTAGTGCATGGCACGCTGGTGGCATGGCATTAGTGCATGGCACGCTGGTGGCATGGCATTAGTGCACGGCACGCTGGTGGCATGGCATTAGTGCACGGCACGCTGGTGGCATGGCATTAGTGCACGGCATGGCACGGCAGCACCCACCAGCGTGTGACAGTGAAGAGGTGCTCCAGCGACTCCACCACCGTGGTCTTGCCACAACCCTGGGGCGCGCTGATGCCGATCTGCGCACACACATGCCTCGCCACGCATGGGGTACACGCGCCACACACACGAATATCAACATGCTGCAGCCTTGCATGCACACACGCAGATGCTCCTACACCCCTTCGTGTCCCTGCCTTCCTCTCTCCCATCCCCCCTCCCCATGGCAACTAGAGGAGGCACGGGAATGACTAAAGGAGGCACGGGAATGACTAAAGGAGGCACGGGAATGACTAAAGGAGGCACGGGAATGACTAAAGGAGGCACGGGAATGACTAAAGGAGGCACGGGAATGACTAAAGGAGGCACGGGAATGACTAAAGGAGGCACGGGAATGACTCTCAAACACTCATTCCCCCCCTCCTCTCTCCATCCCCTCCTCTCTCCATCCCCGGTTCCATTTGCCTTCTTTGTCCGTTTCCCCTTCTCTCCATCACCTTCCCTCCCCACTCCCTACACCCGTCACAGCCCACCCTCCCCCATGCCGCACCCACCCTCCCCCATGCCGCACCCACCCTCCCCCATGCCGCACCCACCCTCCCCCATGCCGCACCCACCCTCCCCCATGCCGCACCCACCCTCCCCCATGCCGCACCCACCCTCCCCCATGCCGCACCCACCCTCCCCCATGCCGCACCCACCCTCCCCCATGCCGCACTCACCCTCCCCCATGCCGCACTCACCCTCCCCCATGCCGCACTCACCCTCCCCCATGCCGCACTCACGCTCCCCCATGCCGCACCCATTCTGTCAATCATTCCCACCCCCCCTCGCCTCCCCCCACCAGTGCCAGTCCCCTACCACGAGTGGCGCAGCCTGTGCGTCCGCTGCCCCCCCGCCCGCGGCCTGGGCGCGGTGCAGCTGCAGCTGGCGCCAGCACCACGAGAACACGGGCAGGTAGTACTGGAAGATGCGCCGCAACTGCGCCTCCCCCAGCTGCGCCTTCCCCCCCTTCCCCAGGAAGCCCAGCTGCTGCGCGAGCTCGTGCCCCAGCGCGCCCCACGCGCGCACGTCGCGCTGCACGTCCGCCTGGGAGAGCCCCACGCGCTGCAGCAGCGGGCTGCACGCCACGAACGCGGGGAGGTCCTCAGCGGGGATGACGTGCGCCGGCCCGGGGGGACGGGCGGGAGCGAGGGGATGGAGGGCGTGGGGAGGGCGGAAGCTGAGGAGGAGGGAAGGCCTTCCTTGAGGCTGCAGACAATGAGATGGCGGGGGGAGGAGGAGGGGAGGGAGAAGCGAGAGGAGGGGGAGGAGGAGGAGGAGGAGGAGGAGGGGGAGGCGGAATGTGGATGCACATGGCGGCCGGCCTGGGCGAGAGAGGCGGAGTGGCAGACGCATTGGGGCGGGCTGGCACGCGGGAAGTTGCGGGCTTGATGCTGGCGAGGGGGAGGGGAGAAGGAGAGCAACGGGGAGGGTTGGGGGAGAAAGTGTGGTGGAAGGGAGGAGCGAGAATATATGAGGGGAGGCGGAGAGCGGCGGCAGCTTGCGGCATGGCGCGACAGGGATGAGGCCGCAGTGCTAATGGGCGGGGTGCACGGGGCGAGCAAAGAGAGCGGGGAATGGTGGGCGAGAGGAGAGAGGGAAGCAAAGGGGTGAGGGAGAGGGAGAGGGAGAGGGAGAGGGAGCGGGAGAGGGAGAGGGAGAGGGAGAGGGAGCGGGAGAGGGAGAGGGAGAGGGAGAGGGAGAGGGAGAGGGAGAGGGAGAGGGAGAGGGAGAGGGAGCGGGAGAGGGAGAGGGAGAGGGAGAGGGAGCGGGAGAGGGAGAGGGAGAGGGAGAGGGAGAGGGCGGTGGGCGGTGGGCGGTGGGCGGTGGGATGATTGAGGGGCACGGGAGGGACGTGCGCGCACAGGATGGAGGAATGCTGCTGTAGCTTGGGCTCAGGCGGGTGGGTTGTGGAGGGGGGATGCGGGGGACGGGGAGATGCGGGGGGGGGGAGAGGGCTGCGAGTATCGGTCTGTGAGACCCAGCTCGCGGTGGTCGGGCGTCGTCCAAGGCGGGGCTAGTGCAGCGCATGCTCGTGCGACACGGTAACACGCGGACTCCATGGCGGGGGACTCGTGCGAGGAATGCGAGACAGGTGACACGGGGACGCGCACCAGCAGCGCTTGTTTCCCCTCGCCACCGACCATGTCTCTCTCGCTCATGCTGCGCATGCATTCATTCTGGTAGAGCATAATCTCCTCATTGTCCCTTCACCCACTCCGGACCTGCCATGCTGCCTGCACCACTCTCACGTGTCCATCACGCGCGTGCATCGCACCGCCCACACGCACCACGACTTCACGCAAGGCGGAGCCGTGGGAGCTCGCCACGAGGGTCATCGCCGGAGACCGCGGCGTCGCTGTGTGCGATGCAGCCTGCGACGCTGGGCGGCTGATTGGTACCCGCGACACGCCGAGCGACGAGGCGATGGCTTCCATGACTCGCGAGGTACCAATGCGACTCCTTCACGCGATTGTCGACCAGAGCGCACTTCTGCGAAGCTCGTCGAAACTTGACGATGAACGAGAAGGCTACGCCACGAGGAGGGCGTCACTGCAGTGACCTTGCCACAAGCCTATTTCGCGTTCACTTGCTTGTGTTCGAGCCTTCGCCAAACTGCAGCTTGCTGAAACACACCTCCACTTCAAAAACCTCCGAAAGTCCGAGCGTGCCCTTAAAACCCGCTGCTAAAATAGCAGACCTGGAAGCCACTTGAATTTGGTGCTTTGAAATCCAAGTATAGAATGGAAGGCAGCTTTGAGTTCAAGCCTGAACAAGAAAAGTGCGTCGAAACGAATTCTAGTTGAGCTTGCTGATTGGAGGAATGGCGAAAGAACTCATTTTGCTGTTTGTTTGCGACACTCTGTGCATCGCACGGGATTCCTACGAGGGGTTTGGGCGAGAAGCTTGCGACGAGGAAATACAGGCGCGTTATGACCGGGGAATTCAAGTGATTTCCAGGTCTGCAATTCCGGAATCAGCTGCTGTTCGCCAAAAAAAAAAGCACTCTTCTTCTCGCATTTTCACTGTTCACGGAACCACGAATTCGGCCGCACGACGCTTATTGCACTGTTCACCGAATGATTTCGTGCAAAAGTGTCGCCAAACCGCCACGGTCAGATTCCGCTTTGCAGAACGAAATATTTTTATTCTGTTTCGTTTACTCTAAAAATCAGGTCATGTGCCAAGTTCAGGAGGAAATCAAATTGCCCTATTGATTGCTATTATAGCCGCGGGCTTTAAATGAATTCAGTCGTTTGGAAGTAGAAATGGAAGGGATGGCGAGTGAAAGTGGGGCCTGCAGAGTGGAGTGGCAACGCACAGATTGCTTCAGCCCAGGTGAATGCACGAGTGACGTGGCATTGGTAGCAGGCCACCTGGCACGGAATCTCGAGGTGAGCTCAGCACTTCAATGACTTGCGTGTCGTCTGTAAAACTGTTCGCGTTGACCACCAACCGGCATCAAAACAATAGCGAGGAAACAATACGACGAGCCAACATCAAAACAAAACAACACGGAGTATGGATATAGATAGGCCTAGAGCGCACGGCCAGAGGCTCAGCAGAGCTGAGGAGTGTGGTTTGTAAATTGGCGCGATTTGATTTTTGTGACACAACTATCAGAAACAAGGAAAATGTTGATGATAGGGTGAGAGTACACACAAATATACCTAGGTCTTGTACTCTCTAAGAGGAGACCCTATACAGTCTATACAAACATGATATACAGTTATGTTTGACACACCCCCTAGACTGCATAGGGGAATGCTCTAAACAAGCAGCTCAGGGCGGCACTACTAGTCCAACCTCTGAGACAAGGGTCTGAGAGACCAGTCAGAAGGAGTACATACAAGGCAAGACCAAGACCAGGGCGGCACTACTAGTCCAGCCACTGGGAGAGGACACAAGTCCAGTCTGAGTATAAATATAAGGAAACAGTACAAGGTCAAGGTCCTAGCAAGTGAGAAGCTATAGGAACTAGACCAAGCTGTACACAGTGCCGCTGATGATCTTTAGGCGCAAGCGCCTTCGTAAAGATATCAGCCGTGTTGGCACCTGAGGCCAAGTGTACTACTCGTGCCTGGCGTCGCTGCTGTAGCTCGCGCAGGAGGAAGTACCGCAGCTGAATATGCTTCGCTCTGCCCTCGAGTCTAGGCTCCTGACACAGGAGGATCATGGCCCTGTTGTCAGCGAACAGGACCGGGGCAGAGCTAGGCCGCTCACCTAAGTCAGTGAGCAAGAAGGTCAGCCAGCGGAGCTCCTGTGCCGCCATGGCACTTGCGTAGATCTCAGCCTCACAGCTGGATTGGGCAACAGACGAGGAGCGGGTGGCTCTCCACGAGACGGCATCTGAGCCAAGGCTGAAGTAGTAGCCCTGGGTAGACCTGAGTGTCTCAGCGTCTGTGTGTCCAGTAAGGACCACTGGCCTGCGTCCTCCTAGCACTAACCCCATGCTTGATGTACTAGCAAGATAACGCAAAACCCTCTTAGCGGCAGACCAGTGCTGCGGTCGGTGTCTGCCTGTGGCCACAAAGCGAGCCAGGATGCTGAGAGGGTATGCGAGATCTGGACGAGTGCAAGTCATCAGGTACATGAGGCAACCTACCAGCTCTGCGTAGGGGCCGCTGGGCTCTACCGACTCCTCAGACACTGGAGCGGAGAGTCTGTGGTCTACAGGCAGAGGGGTAGGCTGTGCAGAGGAGAACTGAAGGCTGAACCTCTGAAGGACCTGGCGCACCAAGTGTGACTGAGTCAGAGTGATGGTGCGTGCTGCTCTGTCCCTGGAGATCTGCAAACCAAGGTAACGGCGCAGTTCTCCAAGGTCAGTGCAGGTGTGTCTCTTCAGCAGTTCTGCCTTCACGGAGGCCAGTGCGTCCCTGTCTGCTGTGGCAAAGACCAGGTCGTCGACGTAAACAAGGATGTAGAACGGAGTCTGGCCAGCACGAACGAAGAGTGAGGGGTCGGCGGAAGACGGAAAGAACTGCAGGTCAGCAAGTGTAGCACGGAGAGTGTCGTGCCACTCACGGGGAGCCTGGCGCAGGCCGTAGACGGGGCGCCGCAGGAGCCACTGGGTCCCAGGAGGGAAGGTGCCAGTAAAACCCTGAGGGCGACGCAGGTAGACCTGCTCGTGTAGGCTGCCCTGAAGGAAGGCAGTGGAGAAGTTGATGGAGTGAAGCTCGTAGTCACGCTGTGCAGCTAGGTGCAACAGAACCTGAAGAGTAGTCATCTTCGGGGTCGGAGCGAAGGTCTGAAAGAAGTCCACCCCCTCACGCTGACTGAAGCCTCTAGCCACGTAGCGCGCCTTGAACACAGGCGGCTCTCCAGGAGGGCGCTTCACCTTGAAGAGCCAGCGGCCATCGACTACGTTCACCCCAGGCGGGGGAACTGCGTCGACGAAGGTGCCGGTGGATATCCAAGATGCCATCTCCTGCTCCATGGCAGCTATCCACTGAGAGGCCCAAGGTCCCGAAGTCGCCTCAGCATAAGTGCGAGGAGTCGGGATGTCGAAAGCGTCTGGGTCACCCTCAGGGACTAGCAGCATGGAGCAGAGATGGGGAGCAGCCTCGGACAGGATAGCAAGCTCGAACTGGCGGTCCTCCAGGACGTCACTGCCAAGGGCAGAAGCACCCCCGACAGACGGAGGACAGGCAGGGTCAGAGACCAGAGCAGTAGCGTAGTCAAGGCGGCGGGTAGAGGCGAAGTCAGCGACAGCAGCTACAAGAGAGTCAAGGCACGAGACCGGAACAGACGGGTCGGTAACGAGAGAGGCAAGGACCCGAGGAACAAGAGGACGAGCGGCACGAAGGTAGTCAGACAGCGGGGGGGGTGCAACAACAAGGGAGGACGGAGGAGGAGACGGCAGCAGCGGAGGACGCGACGCGCGGGAACGAAGCAACATAGGGTGGGAGCGCAAGACAGGCGAGGCGGGACGGGCACGAGAGGGACGGTGAGACCAGACGTGCGACGGGGGAGTCGGGTCAGGAGACAGGGGAGGGGACACAGGAGGAGAACGAGGAGGAAGGCGCGCCGGGGACGAGTCCGGCGGAGGGAACACAGGGCCGTAGACGGGAAGAGGAGGAGACGGTCGGAGAGGAGCAGCCACAGGGTCAGGGGACGGAAGGCCGAGCAGGCGAAGGGCTGACACCGGCGGGGACTGCTGCGGCGGCGGGACAACGGCGACACCGGGACTGCAAGCGGCTCCTCGGCTACCACCGGCACACTCCACACCAGCACCCCCAGAGGAACCACCCCCAGGGCTACCGGGACGAGCACCCCCAGAGTCAACGAACGGGTGCTGCGACGGCGGCGGGGGCGGCGGCAGCGACAACGACGGCTGCAGCGGCGGCAGAGGCGGTGGAGAAGGGGACTGGGGAGGGGACACCGGGGGAGGGGCGGCCAGCGAGGACTGCACAGCAGGGCCACCAGAGTCAGAAGACTCCTCAACCGGGTCCACTGACGGAAGGGGGGTGACGTGGGACACACCAGAGGGAGCAGGACGGGGAGGAGGAGGGGGAGGGGCAGGGACTACCGGGGAAGGAGGGACCAGGAACAAGGGGGGGTAACCGGGGGACCGCGGTGGGGGAAGCGACGGTAGTAGGAGGCGGACTCGTCAAAGGTGACGTCGCGAGAGTGAAAGAAGCGGTGAGACGGCGGGTGGTAAAAGTGCCAGTCGGACGCGTCAAGGGGAAAACCGAGGAAGACGCAGGGAAGGGTGCGGGCAGTGAGCTTGTCCGTGCCGGAGGCACGGACGTGAGCAAGGCAGCCCCAGACGTGAAACGCATACGCGTCACCAGGGGACCCAGTCCAGAGACGGGTCGGCGAAACCTGCGGCTGCTGAGGGTGCGGCCACAGGTTAAGCTGGTGAGAAGCGTAGCGCATGGAGAACGGCCACAGAAAATGGGGTGCACCGGCATGGATCATGGAGGTGCGAGCTACCTCCATGACCAAACCGATGCGTCGCTCAGCGACCCCATTCTGCTGTGGGGAGTCCGGTAGGGTGAACGTCTGGGTGATGCCCTCCGCACGACAAAAGCGACCAAGGACACCTGAGGCAAACTCGCCACCACGGTCGGAGTGAAGACGCAAGACAGGGAGACCGCGGTGGACACGCGCAGAGACAAGCCAGGGGATGAGAGCGCCAGGCACGTCAGCCTTGCGCTCCAGGGGGAAAACAGTGGTGTAACGAGTAAAGTCGTCAACAAGCACAAGGAAGTAGCGCTCGCGACGAGGCCCAGGGACGGGGGCGGGGCCCCAGACGTCCAGGTGCAGAGTCTGCAGTGGCGCGGCGGTAGGGGGAAACGAGGAGGAGTGAGGGGCACGGCGAAGCCGACCCTCGACACAAGGCGTGCAAGGTGGGGCCGGGGAGGGGGGAAACGCGGGGAGAGAACCGGGGAGACCAAGGACAAGACCGTGCTGAGACATGTGACGCAGACGCGGGAGCGCAGGGTGACCTAGGCGGTGGTGCCAAAGGAGGGTCGGGTGAGTGAGGGACCGACAGGAGCAGGCAGCAGCAACCTGTGTAGACACAGCCACCTGAGGGAGCGCTCCAGCCGGGGGGGTCACGGTGTCCAGAGTGAACAGGCCGGACACCGGGTCCCGGGGGAACGTGGACAGGGGGCACCTGTGGCGGCCTCGGTACAGACAGCATACCGCTCGTGACCAGGGAACGTAGTGGTGACGCCAAG